CCTGTACTCTTAAGTGATTCTCAAGGCTGAGGCAATAGGATAACAAATTTGAGTCCAGCCTCTGATTCTTAGTAAAACCCGATCTTTTTTTCTTTTTTGGTACTGGGGATTTAACCTAGGGGTGCTTTACCACTGAGCCACATCCCCAATCATTTTTTTAAAAAATAATTTTTAGATAGGGTCTTGCTATGTTGCTGAGGCTGGCCTTGAACTTGTGATCCTCCTCCTGCCTCAGTGTCCCAAGTCATAGGGATTACAGATATGCACCACCTCTTCTGGATCCTTTTCATTTTTTTTTTAATTTTAAGATAAGGTCTTATAAACCAGACATGGTGGCAAACTCCTGTAATCCCAGCAACTTGGGAGGCTGAGCCAGGAGGATCCTAAATTTGAGCAATTTAGCAAGGCCCTAAGCAACTTAGTAAGACCCTGTTTCAAAATTAAAAATAAAAAGAACTAAGGATGTGGTTCTCAGTGATTAAGAGTTCTTGGATTCAATCTCCAGTACAAATTATTAAAAAAAAAAAAAAAAAAAAAGAAGGAAAGAAAGAAAGGGAGGAAGGGTGGGAGGGGCTGGGGATTGGGGATGTAGCTTAGTGGTAGAGTTCTACTGGTTCAATTCCCAGTACTGCAAAAAAAAAAAAAAAAAAATTTGACATATTCTTTGTACATACTTATGGAATACAGTGTGGCATTTCAATACTTGTATGTAATGTGTAATGATCAGATCAGGGTAATTGGAATATCTACCACCTCAAACATTATTTCATTATACTGGTAACATTCAAGCTAGCTATTTTGAAATGTACAATCAATTTATTTCCGCCATAGTTACCCTACTGTGCTATTCCTTCTGTTTAACTGAATGCTTAACTATCTCCTCTCCATTCTCCTTCCTCCTATTCTCTTCCCGGCTTCTTGTAACCACTATTCTGCTTTGAACTTCTATGAGATCAACTGTTTTAGTTTTCACTTCAAGTGAAAGACATGCAGTATTTGTCTTTCTGTGCCTGACAATAAGTCACCTGACAGAATATTCTCTAGGTTCATCCATTTGTCACAAATAGTAGGAATTCATTTTATCATTGAATAATGTTTTGTTGTGTGTGTGTACCATATTTTCTTTATCCATTCATTTGTTGATGGACACTTAGGCTGTAAATCTTTGCTGTTGTGAATAATGCTGCCCTCAACAGTGACATACAGATGTCTCTTCCATATTCTAATTTCCTTTGGAAATATGCACAATAGTAGAATGACTGGATCATCTAGTAGATCTATTTTTAGTTTTGATGATCCTCCTTCTTTAGTTTGGATCTTGAATGTTTCCCGAAGGCCCACCTTAAAGGCTTAAAAGGCTTGATCTTTAGGGTAGTGCTGTTAGGAAATGGTGGACCCTTTAAAGGTGGGGCCTATTAAGAACTCTTTTCTGGGGAGTGTGCCCTTGAAGGGGATTGTGGACCAGTTAAGTCTGATTCATTCTACTGTCTTTTTTCTATTCCCATCCTTCCTTCTTTTCCTTTCACTTCTGAACTTCTATTCCTCCCTCCCCCCATTATTGTGTGTTAGCATCCGAATATCAGAACATTTAGCCTTCGGTTTGGGGGGATTGGTTTATTTTACTTAGCACAGTAGTCTCCAGTTCTATCTGGCAAAAGTTATAAAGTCATTTTTTTAAAATGTACCCACTGCCACTTTCAATATGTGCCCTGGTAATGGGTAGTAATGACCAATCTATCCATACAACTTATGATTTTCAGATTATATCTTTTATTATTTGTCCTTTAACGTGTGCTAGTCTTAATTTATTTGGTGCATTGCTTGGCATCTTTCAATTCATTTCTACCTGGATATTCCTCATATATCTCACTAGGAAGCAGTTTCTCCATCCTCAAACTTGGTTTGACTTCTGCTTTTCTGTGTTAGAAGACAGGACTTTGTGAAGTCCCTTCTGCCTTTTACTGAAAACTCCCATCTCAGCCAGTCAAAACTAAGGGTTGTTGGGGCAAATGCAGGAAGGAATTTGTAACTGAGATTTGTCATCCACTGTGTCAGTTCTGCATTGCCTGTTGGCGCTGTGCTGTGTGCTCTGTATACGAGAAAGATGATTTGATTCCCTTAGGCCTGTGTCAGACCATGTGTTTTCCTTAGACTATTAGCCTCAACTCCACATTCCAATTAATTACTTAATAATAAATACTTACGAAACTCCGTCAACACTCAGCTAAAATATTATAAGCAATGGCTCTCCACTGTCTTGTTCTCCTGCATTCCCCTCAGAGTAATTGACATGTGGTTTTCATTATCTATTTAAAAAGTTTAATAAATAAATGAATAAAAAAAATAAAAAGTTTTATCGTACATGCTTATATTGATGCATAAGCAATGTAATGTTCCATTGAGCTTGAGTTTAAATCTAAAGAATTCACATTATATATGTTATCTTCTGGGAATCGTTTTTTTCCAGTTAACATTATGTTTCTAAGATTCAGTATCTTGTGATGTACATTATGGTTATTCGTTGATGAATAAGTGAGTAATATCCTTGTATTCTGCTATACAAGCAGTGCTGCTATGAGTATTGGTATAGATGTCTCTGGGGACACATGTAAGAATTTCCCTTGCAGTCTGGGTGTGTTGTTCAGTGGCAGAGTATTGCTTATTATGTCAGGGCCCTTGGTTTGATCCCCACCAGTAGAATAAACTAAAACAAAACAAACAACCAAAACCCCAGAACACTTGGAATTTTGGGGTTGAGGTTGAGTGGATGTTTAACTTTAAAAGATAATGCCAATTTTTTTTTCCAAAGTGATTATACCATTTTATGCCCTTATCCTTGTAGTAGATAAAAATCCTATTTATCCAGGTCCCCGGGATCAGAATTTTTTTCTGTGCATATTTTTAATTGACACATAAGATTATACATATTTATAGATTACAATATTACATTTCAGTACATGTTTATAATGCATAATGATCAAATTCTATTAGAATTCCTAATTGTTACCAGTTGAATAGTGTAAATTGCTATCTCATTATGGTCCTGATTTGAGTTTGCATGTCTATTAGTTAAGCAGTTATTTTTTTTATAAAATTAAAATTCTGGAACACTTTTATAATTCTTCCATGTTAAGTTTGGATTTGTTTATGCAAAGCTGCTTATAGTCCTTTGCACACACTCACATCCTCTTTCCCCAAACTCTTGATTTTTTTTCCCAAACTCTGATCTTTTGTGTACAACCTGCTGTGCTTCAAGATATCCCTTGTTTCAAACTGTTCCCTCTCATCTTTAATAAACTCAGTTCCAGACTCACCTCTTTCATGAACTTGCCCTTGAAAATGTCAATAAACTTACATTCTATGTCATTTAGCCTCTGAGTCCTGACCAGCCTCTCACTCTCCATGGGCAATGACTATAAGCTAGTACATGCTGCCACATGTATTAAGAATCTTAAAGTCAGATATTAAAGAGAGATTAAAAAAAAAGAATTTAGGCCTTCGTTTTTTTTTTTTTTTTTTGGTATTGAACTCAGGGCCTCTTAACCACTGAGTCAGATCCCCAGCCCTTTTTATTTTTTTATCTTGAGATAGGGTCTTGCTAAATTACTGAGGCTGGCCTTGAACTTTCTTCAGTCCTCCTGCTTCAGCATTCTGAGTTGCTGGGATTAACAGGTGTGTACCACCATGCCTGGTAGAACCTTGTACATTTTAACCTGGTATTTATTTCTAAGAATCCCTCCCAAAGGTAGCAAAAAAGTTCTAGATAAATAAAAAACGATTTAGTGCCTAATGGCCAGGTGGGCTATAGGGCTGCAGATTTATTTACATAGGGAAAGGAGAATCATTGAGGAAATCTTGTATATGTGCCCTTGGGTGGAGAGCCAGGGGCCTAGAGAAGACAATATGGTTGTACTCTCCAGCTTAGACCTGTGGTTAGGACTAAGAATACTGGAGGAGAGAGAAGCTGAATACACATGTTAAAGCCCTTTCAGAAGGAATATGATTAAATCAAAAGGCACTAGACAGTGAGAAGAGCTGGGTGTGTTTCCCACTTTCACATCAAGCCCCCATGTGGAGATGTGAGGGTATGTTGACTGCTGTGTGGCAGTGACGTGGCTGCTACCTAGTGGAGATCTGAGGGAAGTGCGTAGTGTCTTGGTATCCATGGTTATGAATTTGTTGTAAAACACATGAGAGATCCCTCCTGGAATTGCATGCTGGGGAGAATTTACAGGTGTCAGGTCTGTGTTGTCAAGAGGAAGTCAAGAAGTAGAATAATTTAAGTACTGTAGTTTTTATGTCCTCATCCATAGCTATGATTTTGTCGTGTACCTGGACCTTTGGTTTGCATGGAGAAGTGCTCAGTTGTATTCTGTCAAGAACCGATGCTCCGCTGGGGAATGTGTGTCTGTGAACCACCACATCCACAGGTGGAGAGACAGCTATTCCTCACATTAGGATACAACTAATTAATTATTTGAATAGCTCTGTGCATAAAGTGCACAGGAGCATAGACAACATCCAGGCCTTCCTAAGGACCCAGCACAAGCTTCCCAGAAGACAGAACATTTTGTTGGAACTTGGATGTCTGTAGGAGTATCCCAGTAAGTTAGAGGTGTGGATAGCAAGGAATTTGCTGTGAGAAGCCTTTAAGCTGTGGAAGTGACACTCGGGGATGGGAGTGAGGTGCAAAGAGACACTGGGCTTCTCATCTGGTCCCCTTGGTGAATGTTAGTTACATCATTTATCAAAAAGAGAATCTGGAGGTGGGGAGAAGAGTTCAGGGTTAGGGTACGACAGTCTACTCTGGAGAAGAACAAATGGAAACGAGGGTCAGGTGTATCTAGCTTAGTTGTTATTTACAGCCCTTGAGCTTTATTAGTCAATATCCCCAATCAGTGATCTCTTCTTAAGACTTGGCTCTTTGAAATCAGAACTTATTGAATTAATGTGCTTTCCTCCTGTCTTATCCTTATTAGATTGTGTGTTTTCACAGAGGCTCTGCTGCACCTGGCCCATGTGAGCTCCTCCTGGAAGTTAAGTGGTGGAGTCCTGAACACCTGCCAGGCAGCCTTGGCCTGGGGATTTTGGAGTCATCATTAATGGACAAAGTGTTCGGGTTCCTGAGAGAAACTTGCTAGTTAATGCTGGCTGAGTCTCAGCAGTACCCGTGAAAATCCACCTCGAAGAAGGAAGAGAACAACAGCATGAAGAGGGAGAGAGAACATTTCAATGCCTGGGACAACCCTCATGGTCATTAGAACCTCCCATTTTTCTCTTTTTGACTTCATAGAAATGCTTCATTTACTTACTACACTCGGTTGCACTAGAGCTTTTTGGTTAATGGGTCCACATCACTTGTGTCTCAGTTTCTCTGTCTGTGGAATGGAGATAATAATAGTACTGAGCACAGAGAGTTGTTCCAGGGATTAAATGAGATAATCTGGGGAAACGGCTTTAAACCAATGCTTGCCACGGAGCATGCAGCATTAGTTTCTGTCTTCTCTGTTACCCTTTACAAGTCTGTGTAGAATCCAAATGCTCTTACTGATTTGGGAGCAGAAATCTGCGATGACATGTTTTGATATTTTTACTGCCCTGTCTCTTATGCACCAATGCCCATTCCCCAGGAATTCTGAGATTTAGTGGTACTGCTTCCCTTTTAAATTGCTCACCTGTGGGGTCTGGTGAGTCTGTGGTGGGAAAAGAAAGGTGGGTTGCTAGTGGAACAGAGAATTGTTTTATCCTTGGGTTTTTTCATGGTTTGAAAGTTTTTTCTGGATTTTAGTCTCCTGGGGTAAATTTAGGGTAGGGGATCTTCCCCAAAGTTCGACAGCCATTCTGACACAGCTGTAGAGACCAGTTTGGGAGGAACCCATGGCACCCCAGTTATGCTTTCAGAAATTTTTTTCCCTTTGCTCTTCCAGCAATTGTTTGTGCAGAACTGCTTGTATCATTCATTTGTCAATGCATGATACACTTTTTGGGTGACATCTCCTTTCTGGTGGACTGTTGAAACTTGACTTGTTATTTAATTTCTCAAAGGTTCATGCATATCTCCTCTCAAATTTGTTTACAAGTTCCCTAGTGAATTCTTTGTACATTTGAGATATTTCACAGGGTTTCATGTCCTCAATAGATGCTAGAAAAACATTTGATTTTTGTTAAATCCTTTAACTATGCTTTACTCTCAGTATTTTTTTTTTCTTTTCCTTTTATAGGCCTGGTTGGTTTACACAACATCGGACAGACCTGTTGTCTTAACTCCCTAATTCAGGTATTCATAATGAATGCGGACTTCACCAAGATATTGAAAAGGTAAGACTATTATTCAGGTTAATTGATATGTATAGTATTTTATATTTTTTATTCGGTTATAGTGACTTGGACTTTAGAAGTCTTCTTTCAAAAGTTGTCAAAGAAAAGATATTTTTTTTTTGCTTTTCTGCATTAGAATTGCTTAAGAAGTTTTAAAAATACATAAATACCRTATCCCACCTCCATTTACTTGATTTCAGTTGGTCTGGGTTGGGGCCTAGACATTGGTACTTTTTAAATGACTCCTTCTGTACGTGATTTTTAAATTCGGCCAGGATTGGTAGTCATTGAATTAGACCAATGTCAGAGAAACTGTCAGTGGAGCCAAGTGTGTGCATAGTTAGCATACTCATTCTTTTTGCCCCGTGCACTCTTCTTTTTTTTTCTTCATTGACAGGAAAATTGAGAGATGCCTATAATTTAAGGAATCAATGCCTAAATACATGCCATCCCTTCATGTTGCACTTTCTACCCAGGACTTAACTTAGCATTTGCCTTTTCTGTTTGAAGTGCTTCAGACTGGACATTTCACTGCTTGCCTCTTATGTGAACCCAGAATCTGGTGCATCTGCCCTTTATTCTAGCATGATTATTGGTCGGGGTGGAGTTGCTGAGGCAGCAGTTGTGTTGGTCCCCTTCTCAAGGGTATTCTGTTTAGCCAATTCACTAACATGGTGGTTCTTTACCTTGGTTACCCATTTAAATCATCTAGGTCCCACCCCCAGAATTCTGATTTAGTTTATATGGGGAGTGGACTGGATGGACATGGAGATTTTTTAAAAGTTTCCTAAGTAATTCCAGTAGGTACCTCACATGGACGACTGTGGGTGAAAGGAGGTTCCTGGCTGTTCTTATTCAACAGGATAAAAGTGCCAAGGGAAGCAGGAGAACAGAGAAGAAGTGTTCCCTTCCAGCTTCTTTTGCTGCTGGAGAAGATGCAAGACAGTAGGCAGAAAGCAGTGCGACCCATGGAGTTTGCCTACTGCCTCCAGAAGTACAATGTGCCAYGTAAGACAGTCCTTTCAGTTCTGGCTGCTGCCTACTGATCTAAAGAGGCTGGGAGCCTGGGAGGCTCCCAGAGAGTGAGGAAAAGGGCAGTGAACGAATCAGGGCTCCGTATTTGGTGCACATCTGTGGTTGTGGCAGTTTGTGAACCTGAGATAGGAGGATCCCAAGTTCCAGCTGGCCTGGCAACTTAGTGAAACCCTGTTTCAAAATGAAAAATTGGGGATATAACTCAGTGGTACAACACCCCTGGGGTTCAATCCCTAGAAACACACACACATACACACACACACACACACACACACACACACACACACATACACACCACACAATCATCAAGAAGGAAGTGAGGTGACCCTAGGCCCCTTATTTTTTAAAATTTATTTTCTAGTTATAGGTAGACACAATATCTTTATTTTATTTTTATGTGATGCTGAGGATCGAACCCAGTGCTTCACGCATGCTAGGTGAGCATTCTACCTCTGAGCCCCAACCCCAGCCCCAACCCCTTATTTTTAAGGTATTGGTGTATATCTGAAAAATTTTTAAAACTTTTGTTTATTTTAATATATATTTTTTGTGATTATTACCAGTTTACTATTTTTTTCCAATGGTTTTCTTTTTACATTGGCATAACCATACGTTTATGGGATATATTGTGGTAATCTGATACATTTTTTATAYGTGTGTAACAGTCAAATCAAGGTAGCATTTCCCTTTCCTTAAGCACTTTCCATTTCTTTGTGTTTCGAAGCTTTGAACTCCTCTCTCCTAATTGCTTATAAAGTACATAATAAATAGTTGTCAGTAGTCACTCTACTGTGCTCTAGAACATTAGAATTTACTGCTATTATCTAACTCTAATTTGGTACCTGCTATTCAACATCTTCCCATCCACCCTTCTCTCTACCCTTCCTAATTTCTAATGGCTATCCTGTGACTTTCTCCTTCTTTGAAATCAACTGTTTGTTTTCCACATATAAATGAGAATGTGTGGAATGTGTCTTTATGTGTTTGATTTATTTCACTTAACATAATGTCCTCCAATTCCATCCATATTTTTGCAAATGACAGGATTTCATTCTTTTTAATGGCTGATTGATATTCCACTGTGGATAGATACCCACATTTTTTCACTCATTCATCGATCCATTGGTGAACATTTAGTTTGTTATTATTTCTTGGATATTGTGAAGAGTGCTGCAATAAATGTGAGAGTCAGATGTCTCTTTACCCAACTGTGTGTATTTATGCCAGTACCATGCTCTTTTGGTTATTGCTTTATAGTATGTTTTTGAAGTCAGGTGTTGTAATGTTTCCCTTTTTGTTCTTTTGGCTCAGGTTTGCTTCAGCTCTTCAAGGTCTTTTGTGGTCCCCTATAGATTTTTTTCTAGTTCTGTGAAGAATGTCATTGGTATTTTGATATGAATTTCATGGAATCTGTAGATACTTTGTGTCCTCTTCAATTTCTTTCATCAGTGGTTCATAATATTCATTATAGTGTTAAGTCCATTTGCTCTATACTATAATTTAACTCTGTTGTTTCTTTGTTGGTTTTGTGTCTGGATGATTTGTTCACTGATGAAAGTGGAGTATTGAAGTTCCTAAGTATTATTTTATTAGAGTACATCTCTCCTTTCAGTCTAAGAATGTTTGTTTTATACAACTGTGTGCTACTGTGCTGGGTAAATATATATTCATAGTTGTTATAGCTTCTTGTTATCTCTTTATCATTCTGTAGTTATTTTCTTGTCTTTTTTATAATGTTTTCCTTATAGTCTATTTTTTTTTCTGATGTAAGCTAGCTACTTCTGCTTGGTTTTAGTTTCTGTTTGTATGTTATATATTTTCCTGYCCCTTAATTTTTAATCTGTGTGTATCTTTACTGGTTAAGTGATTTTCTCGTAAAGGTATATTTTTGAGCCTTACTTTTAAAAATTCATTCATCCAGTCCGTATCTTAATTAAGAGATTTAACCCATTTACATTCAAGGTTATTATTGATAAGTTGAGACCTATTTCTGTGACTTTGTTTTTTTTTATTGTTTTGTGTATTTCTTGCTCCTTTCTTGTCCATTCTTATTGATGGGTGGTTTTTCTATATTGGTAGGGTGTGATTCTCTTCTCTTTTTCTTTTGGTTCCTGCTTGACCATTGAGTTTTGTACTTTTGTGCAGTTTTGTGATGGTGGTCATCATTCTTTCTCTTCTGCCAGACTCCCTTAAGCGTTTCTTGTCAGCCTGGTGATGAATTCCCTTAGTTTTTGTCCTGGAGACTCTTTATTTCTTCTTCATTTCTGAAGGATATATCTGCTGGGGATAGTATGTAGATTGGCAATTTTTTTGTGAGTTCAAGATTTCTTTCCTGCTCAATGGAGGATCTTTTAGATCAAATCTATTGGGACTCTTTTAAGCTTCCTCGACCTGAATATCTGTAGCTGTCCCCAAGATTTAGAATGTTTTCATTGATTATTTCATTGAATAGATTTATTATGCCTTTTTCCTTCTCATCTTTTCTTTTGAGGGGTTACTAGGGATTGAACCCAGGGTGCTTAACCACTGAGTCACATCCCCAGCCCTTTAAAAATATTTTTTAGTTTTAAATGGACATAATATCATTATTTTTATTTTTATGTGGTGCTGAGGATCAAATCCAGTGCCTCATGCATGCTAGGCTAGCCCTTTGTATTTGTTTATTTTGAGACAGGATTTAGCTTAGGGTCTCACTAAGTTGCTGATGTTAGCCTCGAACTTGTGATCCTCCTGCCTCAGCCTCCCAAGTCACTGGGATTACAGGTGTGCTCCACCATGCCTGGCTCCTTCTCATCTCTCAATTAAAAAAATTTTTGTAGTTATAGATGGACAGCATGACTTTATTTTATTTGCTTTTTTTTTGTACGTGGTACTGAGGATTGAACCCAGTGTCTCACATGTGCCAGGTAAGCACTCTGACAATAAGCCATAGCCCAAGCCCTTCTTCTCATCTCTTGTAGCACCCACTGTATGAATATTTGCTTATTTAATTGTGTCATGTGGACCTTAATGGCTTTTTTAGTTCTTTAAAATTAGCTCTTTTTCATTTCATTTCTTTTTTTCCCCCAAAGACCTGTGTTCAAGCTTGGACATTGTTTCTTCTACCTGACTAGTTCTTCTGTTAAGGATCTCAAATATATATTGTTCAGTTTTTAGCACCACAATTTATTAATGTTTCTTTTTTATTATGTCTTTGCTAAATTTCTTATTTATGTCATGAATTCTCTTTGTATTTTCATTGACTTGTCTGTCTGTATTCTCTTGAATCTCAATAAGTTTCCTTAAAAGTCATTCTTTTGAATTCTTTGTCAGGTAATTTGATGACTTTCTTTTCTTCAGGGTTTGTTGCTAGAGAGTTATTAGGTTCCTTTGGAGATATTATATTACCTTGTTTTTTCACCTTTTCTTTTTCATATGTTGGAATTTATGCATCTAGTGGGTCAGTTTTCTCTATTAAAAAAAGTGAGTATTTGTGTTTCAGATTTAGAGGAAAAACTCAACTTCTCCCCTTAAGTATAATATCTTTGAGTTGTTGATAGACTTCTATTTTATTTATTAATTTATTTATATGTGGTGCTGAGAATGGAACCCAGTGCCTCACACATGCTAGGCAAGCGCTCTACCACTGTACTACAACCCCAGCCCTGAGTTTGCTTTCTCTTTTTTGCCAGAATTTTCATTGCTTTTACAGTGGAACAGATTTATGGAGGCCCTCACTTTATCATTTCAGATGTATTTTTTCCTTCTTTTAGCCTTTCATGGCTACAGGAAGGAAAGAATTTTTAGGGAATTTTTCTTTGAATTATGATTATTTGGATACCTGTTCTCCATTAGAATAGAGGTTTCTTGGTAACAGAAATTTTCTTTGGTATGTTTTTTTCATGGCAATTTTTATGGCATCTGTCTTGTCCTAGCCAATGTTAATTAAGTATGTTGTGGGACAGGCAAATGACTATTTCTTAGATGAATGGGAATTCTTTGTTCTGGGATGGCCAGATGATGGCAAATTGTCTTTAAATGGTAACATGATCCAATTTCCTTTACATCCAGTGTCAGCTCTGTGGTAGGACATAATTCTTCTGTACACTATTCCCTGGAAAGCACCAATTTAACCCTACTAATAGATTGTTTCTCTTTTGAGTTTGGAATTCACTGCATTGGAATCAGTCTATTCAACTTATATGTAATGTTCACTGATTGAGTGCCAGATACTATAGTGCCAGGTTTCTATGCATAAGGAAATAAGGCTGAAAGAGTCTTTGCCTCCATGAAACTCACAGTTTAGAGTCAAGATAGACCCAAACCCAAACCAAAACCAATACAAACTAAAAAATGTTAAGTACAAGTTGTAATAAGTATTATGAAGGAAAGAAAATGTTGTTTGGGTGTAAGATTTTAGCTAATTTACAATAACTACCTTTTCTTGCAATATCTTTGCATTTTTGCACTTTCTGTCCTTTTCAAAAAAAGCCCTCAGTGTGTTTTTCATCGTCTTTAACTTTCTAGTTTTCTTTCTAACAATACTATTAAATTTGGTTATATCTGCCTTACTTTTACTTATAAAACAGATATAGACTTCACTGCTTAATTCCTGCTTCCTCTTATCTATCATCATCTGACTGTAAGATGGTCCTTTCCCTCCTTGTCCTCCCAGGAACCTATGGGAAAACCTAGGTCAGATACAGGAATTGGGGATAGTGCTCAGTTTTTAGGGCACTGAATAAGAAAACACATCAAGGGACAGAGAAATGAAAGACCTTAGGAGTACAGTGAGAGCATTGGCTTTGGGTAGACACAGGAGAGAATTACTGGATCTATCTAGATGGGTCCCCTGGTGACAGTAGAGATGGACAGTGAAATTTGGGTCATGTAATGGTTGGACTATGGCTTAAGTCTTTAGAGGATCTGTCAAAAATCAATATATAAATTACTTCTCATTTTTTGAGCATCTAAAATGTAGTGCAAACTTAGCTGTTTTGGGAGTGGGAGAAGGCTAGGAAAAGATGAAGTGGTGAATGTTCATGGGCATCTTGGTAGCTAGGGCTCAAGGGCATGAGTAGTCTCCAGGGATCTCGCTAATTGTGATGTTACTTCTTTTTGGCCAGTGTTTGTCCAGCATGATGCTGCTCAGCTTTACCTCACAGTCTGGAACCTAATTAAGGACCAAATCACTGATATGGACTTGGTAAGATCCTGGAACAAGAGAACTCAGAGGTTTAGGATGCTACTCATATAACTCATTCAAAAATGTTTATGTAAGATGGAAAAAAAGAATTAATTCATATACAATGCTTATTATAGTTCCATAATATAATTACTCTTTTGCACCTTTATATGTAAGACAATGAACTTTAGTGGCTACCATTTCTGGAGCTTTTGTCTTCTTTTTTTTTTTTTTTTTTTTTAATTTTTATTTATTTATTTATTTTTTATTGTTGGTCATTCAAAACATTACATAGTTCCTCATACATCATATTTCACAGTTTGATTCAAATGAGTTATGAATAATATAGACAGCAGAATACATCAGACACTAGAAAGGCAATATGTCAATCAATGGAAGGGTAACTGATGTGATGCAGCAATCTGTATACGGGATAAAATTGGGAGTTCATAGCTTTTGTCTTCTTGATCCAACTTCTGGTAATAGGCCTGAGATGGTTTAGGGCTTTTTCCCTGACTTACCTCTTTCCTCCTTCCTCTTGCAGGTAGATAGGTTGCAGGCCTTGTACATGATACGGATGAAGGAGTCCTTGATTTGTCTAGACTGTGCCAAGGAGAGTAGCAGAAACAGTAGCATGCTCACTCTCCCTCTTTGTCTTTTTGATATGGACTCAAAGCCCCTGCAAACACTGGTGAGAAACTTTTCTTGGTGGATTTGAAAACCCCAATGTTGCCAATCCCTTGTTGCTTCTTTTATCCACCTTTGGCTTTGTATTTCATTTCTGTGGCTTTGTTCAAGTTCTCCTTTGACTGACAAAATCAATCAATTAATTAATTAAAATTAATTAATAAAAAACTTCTCTTCTACTTTCACTTTACTCAAAATGTTTCCTTAAATGTGCTCCTCCCATTTTATTTCTCCAAATAGTGGAATCTTTATTCTTTTTGAGATTCTACTTAATGTACTGCACTGGGCCAGACATTTAGGGGAGCTTGGAGAAAACTGGACATAAACCTTGCATCCCTACGATAGGGGTATAGGGGATTGTTCTCTAGATGGTAAATACCAACACTGCATTTTTCTTGTTCTGGATGAGACAGGAGGATGCCCTACGCTGTTTCTTCCAGCCCAGGGTGTTATCCAGCAAGTGCTTCTGTGAGGACTGTGGGAAGAGGACACATAGCAAACAGGTACTTATTAATTCAGCTCCTTCACTAGTCTGGGTTTGCCCCTAGTGGACTTCCTGATATCGTCTTTCCAGACCCCTAAGGGTACCTCAAGCTGGTTGAGGAGGCAATTTGGATTAGGCTAGTATCTGGTGTTTTAGGGCTTCTGATTTTCATAGCTGTGGATGTGGCTTCTCGCTCACTGAGAGAAACAGAGCCTTTTAAAGAATAGAGAAGATTCGAAAGAAGTGGTTAGGTTTTCCCCTATGAGATAGACTAGCTTTCTAGAGCAGACTCCATCATTACTCTAGTTTCAGAAGCCTCTGCAGAACCCTGGGGCTGCTGGTGCCTTCTGTGGAAGATGTGCAATGGTGTGGTCGTCAAGTGTCACATGACTCTTGGAGGAACCCAACAGATTCAGGGAAATGGAGCCCTTAACTCTATGTTAGATCATGCTGAATTCCTCTTTTGGAGAAGAACATTCTACTAGCTCTGATATTTTTCTGTCTTTCCATTTCAAGTGCTTTAGGACTTCACTCCACAGTGATTTTGCTTTTTCAGGACTTGAAGCTGACCCATTTGCCCCAGACCTTGACCATCCACCTCATGCGATTCTCCATCAAGAATTCACGGACAGAAAAGATCTGCCACTCACTGTATTTCCCCCAGAGCTTAGATTTCAATCAGGTTCTTTCAAATGAGCAAGTCCTCGGTGATGCCAAGGAACAGGTGAGATGTTCTTTCCCATTATACATCAATCTTATCAGGCACCACAGTCTTAAGATTCTGCCTTCCTAGACCCCTCAGCTGCTAGAAGTCGCCTGCTCAGAAGTTCTGTAGTCCACATCAGTGATGCAGTCTGTGTGGTAGAGTGATGTCAGGTTCCAGACTGTGATGGTGGAGTCAAGCAGCATCATGCTGGGCAAACACTGGCAAGGTGAATGGGAGTAGCTCAGTTAGTGAGGTCTGCTTCTTCTGTGTCATTCTTTTATCTGAGAAATCTTTTTTTTTTAAAGAGAGAGAGAGAGAGAGAGAGAGAGAGAGAGAGAGAGAGATATTTTAAAAAATATTTATTTTTCAGTTTTCGGTGGACATACATCTTTATTTTATCTGGTGCTGAGGATCGAATCCAGTGCCCCGTGTTTGCCAGGCGAGCGCGTTACCACTTGAGCCACATCCCCATCCCCTATCTGAGAAATCTTGTCCTCTGCTGCCRTGTTGGGATGTTCAAAGGGAGGAAAACCCAATCATAGCTTGGTGTGATTCATGGAAGCATTCATAGATTCAAGACACACTTATTTATTTATTTTTATTTAATTCATTCATTTTTTATTCTTTTGGCAAACATCAGATAATATGAGCAAAACTACATTGCTCACAATAGTTACATACATACTTTTTTTTGCTTTATACAAGCTGTAAACATAT